AAAAAAAAAAAAAAAAAAAAAGAGCACTTGTTGCTTTCCTAGATCCAAGTCCAGTGGCCACGACTGCGTGTTAACTCCAGCTCTAGGGGCTCCAATATCCTTTTCTGGCACCCCCACACTCACATAACAACAAAACAAAATTAAAATAAAAAGCTAATGTCTTTATAGAATTTGAGCATTAATCACATTATTTTTATTTTTCAGTATTTTACAAAACCTTTGTTAAGCTTTACTGAGTAGAAATATATTTGGAAAAATCCTTAAAGGTCAAGCAGAAACCAAGTCTTGGGTGTTGTGTATCTATTAATATCTGATAAAACTATGACTACAGCTTGAGAGACACCAAATTACTTAGCCACCAGAGTTAGCCTAATTAGGCATTTCTATATTTTGGTCCAATTTTTTTTTTTGGTCGAGATTTTCTTACTTCTAATTTTGTATATATAGTGTTTATTGAATGTCTGTCTGTACACATGCATACAATGCCTTCAGATGTCAGAAGAGGGTATCTGAGACTAGAGTAACAGACAGGTGTGCGCTGCCACGAGGGTACTGGGAATTGAACCTAGATCTTCTGCAAGACTAGCCAGTGCTCTAAGCTATCTGCCCAGGCCACAATATCCATTTTTTACAACTTTAACCTCAGAATAGATAGAGTGTCACTTATAAGCCTTCTCTTTTTGCTGACTCTTTTGCAGAAGGCAGGGATTACTTTAAAGTTTATGGGGACGCTAAGACCGCTAAGTGAGGAAAGGCATTTACCACCAAACCTGATGACCTGAGTTTGATACTTGAGACCAACAAGGTGAAAGGAGTGAACCAACTCCCTGAAGTTGTCCTGTGAACTCAGATACATGCAATAGCACATGTGTATGCAGACACACTTTATTTGGGGGCGGGGGGTTGTTTTTAAAAAGTGTAATAAAAAACCAAAAATATCCTCTTTAGCCATCTAGTACTAAGTAGGCAGAGAGAAGTAGGAGAATCTATGTGAGTTTGAGGCCAGCCTGGTCTATACAGGGAGTTCCAGGACAACCAGTGCTGCATAGTAAGAACTTATGTCCAAAAGGAAAAACAACAAAAACATCTAAAAATCCTTTTATATTACTATTAGGGAAAAGAAAATTATCACCACCATCAAAACAGAATTGTCGACTACAACATTATTATTAACGTAAGCTCTAAAACTAATAATGTATAATGTTATCCCTTGGGACAAAATTGTGTTCAGACATAAAATACTTACATTATAAGTATCCTAATTTATTTTCTTAGGGAACCAAAGTCAAGTGAATTTAGGAAAACAACTAGATCTGATATTTAGACTTAAAAAAGTTGATTTCCCCCAATACTAACCTTTTCTTTATCTTTTTGAAGTTGTTTCTCCAGCTTTTTGGCTTTACTTGTAGCATGTTTTAATTTTTCCCTAATTTGAACATCTTCTAAATCTAGCTGTGTAAATTTTTCTTTATTTTCTTCAATAAACTTTGTAACTTTATTGAGTTTCTTTTCTATATCCTTTACAGCTGAATTCTTAGCTTTCATTTCATTTGAAAGCATATTGCTCCTCTCAGTAATTTCCTTAGTATCTTCATGAATTT